AGAATATGTATACCACAGTTATATCTTAAAATAGAAAAAAAACAGCCGTCATAAGTAATTAACAACAAATCCCTTGAAAATGGCGTTTGGAACACTAGATACTACTGATAATTTTACACGCACTTATTCCCAGCAAACGAAAAAATCATATATATATATGAAGAAATATACTCTTAAGGTGTGCTATATTTATGGGATAAAGTCGTCAATATTAGAGATAGAGCGTGTATAAATATAAAAATAAACACTGAAGTCAACTCTTAGAGGCTAGAGGCTGTTTCATGCTAGCGGCAATCGTCAGGCCACGACGACTGCGTCTAGCATGAAACAGCCTGTCGCCTATAAGTGTTGATTTCAATGTTCTCTTTATATATATATATATATATATATATATATATATATATATATATATATATATATATATATATATGCGTGTGTGACTTTGAAAGAGAAAGTAATTTAAAGAAGAGGAAAGAAAACTCTCATAATGAAAAATAAATGTGATAGATAAATAGCTGTGTATATGCGTTTGTGTGAACATGATCGTATGGATGCGTATTTTTCAATCACATCACGCCAGGCAAGGGGATGAAGTGAAGCCACAATGACACAAGGGGTTACTAAGTGTGGACTAAGAAAAAAAACATAGGGAGCGATAGAATAGGCGACTATTGAAGACAGTAGATAACGATTGACATTGTATCTGAATTTTTGAAGATCAAAGTTGTCAGGAAAGCACGATTCCAGAAGAGAGTTCCACAAATGAAAAGTGCGAGAGAAGGAATTGTTAACATAGAAGTTACGGTTACATCTAGCTAATTCCATTTTAAATTGGTGCGACCTCGTTGCTAATATAGTCCTACTCTTAAAATCATAAAGTCTATGGAGCATAGCGAAGAGTTCATCCGAATAATTATCTTGAAATTATTTATAAAAAATGCACAGGGAAGCGACATTACCACGGTGGGAAAGTGACTGAAGCCGAGATGACAGGTCAGGACCAAAAATATTGCTGATTCTTCTTTGTATTTTATCAAGAATCTCTAAATATGCAGCAAGAGCACCGGCCATATCCGGCAGCAATATTCAAACCATAGGCAAATGGCAGAGTTGTAAATATGCAAGAGAGATTCTGAAGTGAAAAATTGTTTAGGACGACACAATGACCCGACTATATGTCTGTACCTGTATACACACACGAGCATATATATATATATATATATATATACATATATATATATATATATATATAAAATTAATTAATGAAAATCTTGATAATCCGTATGGATAATCCAAAAGAGTTTAATTTAATTTAATTCATATTTTCACCCTTAGAAATATGTGGTCTGATGAGCCAGGGAAAAAGAAATTCCCTGGGGAAATAAATTATAACCATTGGACCCTTAAAGTTTTCTTTTTTCATTACATTAAATTATTATATATATATATATATATATATATATATATATATATATATATATATATCAATCTGCTTGTCTGAATCATCTTCAAGAAGCGAGAGCAAGATCTAAAATGTCAACCAATCTAACAGTGATCTCATCTCACAATTCTCACTATTGCTCCATATGTGGCGTCCTTTGTAAATCACTAGCGGGTCTTAAATGCCACTTAATATTATCGGACAAAATTTCATAATTGAATCAATAAGCTGGCAGATCCTCATACGTCCATAATTATATAAATATATATGTAAAAATCCGGGTTAACAGATCCACAAAAGAAAGCTCAATATATCTATTATAGAGCATATAAGTCTTTATTCATCATCAACCGTCTTTTTTTTTCAGTCTAGACTTGTTTTGATCACCCCCCACTCTAACCACCTTAGTCTCTTTTTCTCTTTATTTCTCTATAAATGCCATTTCTTTTATATGTTGTTTGATCGTCTTTTTTCTTCTTCGTTTTTCCTTTCTTTCCTTCATTCCTTTCTTAATTTTTGTTTTTCAAATTTTTCAAATTTCTTAAAAAAACACGAAAAAAAAATCACGTTAGAATTCATTTCTTTAATAAAAGTATTTGCATTGTCAAGTCTCAAGGAGAATCTTCCACGGGCGAAATGGCCATCTTTATGGAATAATTTGGGTTGCATTTTTGTACTTCACACACATATACACAGACACACACACGCACACGCACTTACGAATAAACATTATCATCTGCATACAAAATTGACGAACTAGGATTTTTATAGACTGACATATATAAAGCAATATTTGACAATTTTCAGTTGGAGTTAGAAACCGTTGATTTCTATAAACTTCGAATGGTGATAATTTAAGCTTAGATATGGGGCTAGTTCGAAAGTATGGGGCACCCAATGAGGATCGAAATCAGTATTCCGATGTAGTTGATCTAACGAGACAAGTTTTCCTGACCATTACACCACGTCGAAGTACCTTCGCCAAACTTCGAAGGGACGCGTCGTTTCTTCTTGAATTCAGAACACCAAAATTATACTAAGGTATATATATATATATAT